CAGGATTTCTAAGTTTTGCTGGCCTGTGAGAGAGTCTAGAACAGTGATTTTTTTCAATCAGGGTGCCAACATGCCCTGGGGTGCCTTAGGATCCTTTCAAGGGTGTTGCAGGGTGCTATGCAATGCACTGTTAGGGGTACAAATATGGTTGATAAAATGTGCCCAAAGATCTCAAATAGGAAGCCACAGGGTTAAAAACATTCTGACCTGTTACGATCTTTCTAAGTTCTTCGCATCAGAACATTTGCTCTCTTCTTTTTCTGTAGTCAAAAGATGAGTGCAAATTAAGAATTGGCTTTTTCTGTGAGATGTCTTGAGTCTAATGAAGGGTTTCTTGAGTCTATCAAGGAGGGCCTTGAGTCTAAAAAGGCTGAGAACCACTGTTCTAGAAGCACCACGTTTTGCCAGGCATTTCACTAACACCCTGCTAAAAGCACCTGAGTATTGCAAGGATTTCTTCCTCTACAATGAGGTGTGAAAAATGCTCTCCCCAGCAGAAGAGCTCCCCAGGTGCTTCCAGGGCATGTCTTCCTTCAGCTCACCTTCTAGACTGTATACCCCTTTGCTCCTTAAAAGATATGCAACTTCTCAAGGCAACACCCTCAGATTCTGCAATTCTGCAACACCCTTAGAGCTCAATTCTGCAACACCCTTAGAGCTCATACCTGCACTTCTTCACACTTTAAAAATGGTCCAGGAGCCCCTCCTTCTTATGCTTCTTAGAATGCAGATAAGCTGGCACCAACCTGGGTGTAGGAGACAATTGAGCAAAACACTATTCCCAGGTTTTTGTATTACTTGCATCACGGTTGCACCTAAAGATCAGAGCCCCTGGGAAATGTAGGAAGTACTGTAGGAACATAAAGATCAGTCCAGCTCTCCAAAGAAGCAAATAGATCCTTTTTATTGTCCAGCGTCATACTACGCAGCCTTAAAAGTATCTTTACAGAGTGGAGGGAGGTAGTTAGTGTGTTATTCTGAAATCAGGCAGAAGGCAGGGCAGGGTAGTACCTTATACACCTGCCGGACTTCTGCTCCTACTGCGGACTTGATGCATCACATGTATCAGCGTCCCCACCCTTCACAATGGCAGTGGGAGTGCTTTAACTAAAGCTCATCCAACAAGCTTAAGTTAAAGCTCCCCTGCTGGTATTTTGAAGCACGGGACAATGAATACATGTGACTCTGCCAGCACTTCAATGAACAGTAAAGCACCCCTCCACCCTGGACATGTGTAAAGATGCCCTTAGAGACTAACTGGTTCAGAGATGCACAAACTTTTCTAGATCACAGCTTGCTTTGTCAGATGCTCTGAATGGACTTGCAGAAAGCCTTCTGCCTGATTTTCTTTCTATGCAGGCTGCTGTCAGATACCAGTAAGGATGTGACTTAAAAAAAAAGAGATAGAATCCCAATTATTTGGGAGATGGAAGCTTTCTGCAAATTTTAGAGCAACTGACAAAGCAAGCTGTTGCCTACAGAAGCTTATGCCTCTCTGACTCAGTCTCTATGGCAGTGAGTTTTAACTTTCTTAGATTCAGCGTACCCCCATTTAAATTCAGCATACTGCTCACAGAATATCAGCTCTTAGTTTTCACTTATGTTTGGACTGAGAAAAATATTATAATAGAGTAATTCTTCTGTTCCAAAGAACTCAGAAAGAACACAATAGACCAGAATGTTTATGACACTGGATTTCTATTTTAAATTTCCTATCTTGTGAATCATGTGTAGGTGTTTGCAAAGCTAACATTGCATGGGACTCTGCAGCACCTTTATAGGGTCTTGTGGTTTAGTTTATAGTTTGTCAGCTGTTGAGCCTTCCAGATCACAGTATATGCATGTGAGGTCACCCAGATCCTTGATGCATATACCTAGGCAGGAGTTTTGGAGGAGAGGAGGCTGCCCAGACCTTCCATCCCTCCTTTAGGTCACTAAGACAGAGTCCAAAGGCCAGACTGAGACCAGACATTTGGTGCTTCCCTGGCTGTATTTGTACAAGCATCCACAAATTGACCCCAGGTCTCCCATGTGGCCGACAAGGATTCTACCACTGAACCACAGGGGACTCCAGTCTTGTGGTACCCTGGTATGAATATACAAAGAATGAAATCTAGGCTCCATCCCTGTCCAGGGTACTTTTGCCAGGGACTTAAAAAACCCAGGATTTCACCTATAAACTATACTACCCTGAGGTAGTACATTGCCACCTATGGCAGCATTCTTGTTTCAAATTTGTTTTAATGATGAAATGATGAAGGATTATATTAATGAGTAGTGGTTTCAACACATTCGTATTGTTCAGTACCCATTCCTGGATGTAAGGAGCAGGTCTACATGGAGCCTGGCTAGCTAAGGATGTGCCCCAAGACAATTTTGGTTTTAAAGTGTGTGGCACAGTTGCTGAGGCTGGCATACTTTTGCTGTGTTTCAAATGAAACCCTAAGGTGGCAAAGATGTCCAGATTTTAGAAGGGACTTCAGGGCAAACACAGTCAAACAAACATATTTTCCTCTCTGTATTGTATAAAAAAGTTACAAAGATATCCTTTATCCTATAAAAAAATTACTGTCCATAGTAATACCTCCATCACAGCTGTTGTGGGGCAGGGCAGCCCCTGGGGCTCTCATGCTTTGGAGCCAGCTGTAGGTCCCCGCACACCTGGGCAGTGGGTGGGTGTCTGGCAGCACAACAGAGGGGAGGGTGCCAAGCACAGCCGGGAGGGGAGGAGGCAAAGCTGTGACGGAGGTATAATTATGAACGACTGTCACAACTGTACGTGAATACAGAGTGTGCATGTTGTGTAGTAGTAGGAGGAGGCTGGGACAGCTGGTCTTACCCAGTCTGTGGGCATCCAGGAAAGTAGCTCAAGAATTTCAGTGTCCTTGAAGAAGCCTCCAAGGTGGTCATTTGTGGAGGAGGACGCGTTAACACTTCTTTGGTGGGTTTTATTATTATTATTTTTTCCAAGTTCTGTTCTTGTAGGGGAAGAGAAGGGGGGCGTGCACCAGAGCCCCTGGCATAAATCTTCCTCCTCTCCTCTCCTCTCACAATCTCCATCCTTGGAGGTTTTTAAGACCCAGGCAGATAGTCTTGGCTGGGCACTGGGATGACCTGGTTGGGGCTGGTCCTGCTTTGAGCAGGGGGGCTGGAATAGATGACCTCCTGCAGCCCCTTCCAGCCCTAATTTTCTTTGATTCTGTGATCTTCCCCCTCTCCCCTCCTATTCACTGCTGCCCCTTCATCGCGGCAGAAGCTGGAGGGGCCCCTGGCTGCCAGAACATGGTGGGGCTCTGGACGCCTGAATCACATCCCTCTTGGGGCCTGGGAGCTCCCCGCCTAGACCCCCTTCTAGGGTGGCCATCCTAGAGGACAGTCCGGGTGCCCTCTGTCCTTGACTGATACGAAGCGGGACGTCTTTATGTCCTCTATTTTTCTCTTGAAGACCTAAAGGCGCCGGGTTTCGTACCAACAGAGGAGAGTAGGAGAAACCCGGAATCCCCTCTACGATGGCCACCCTACTCTCCCCCGTCCCCCCAGCCACCGAGCGCAGGGGCCGCAAGTGGGGAGGGGAGCGCCTTCCCTGCTTCCCTCCCCCTCCCCAAGGGCCGTATTGTCCCGACTATAACCCGCGGGAGCAGCGCGGCAAACTGCCTAAGCGCCGAGCCCCAATCACGTGGCGGCGGTCGGGGCGGTCAGTCCGCGCCCGCAGGCGCTGAGCTGGAACGAAAGGCCGGGGGGAGGCTGCCACCTACTCCCGCCGGGGGATTCGCGGGGCTTTCTCGGCCTGCCCGGGGCCAGGCACGTG